AAAAAAAAAAAAAAAGAAAGTTTGCATTTTTTTGGAATTGACACACTCCCTAAAAATCTGATTCTTACCTTTACTTACTCAATTAATGTTTACACAAAAAGCAAACAAATGATATTTGTGGAATATAAAAATAGTTAACCTCATATTAATGGCATTATTATTATTATTATTATGGAATAAAAAAATTGACACTTAAATTTTTGTACTTAGAAAAAATGGTGATGGTATAGGGAGTAATTTTTTCCTTATTTTTCTGTAAATTATTTAATATTATAGTTTATCAGTCTGCACATTCATGGAACACACAAAGGCCGTACACTTCAACAAGCAAACAGTACAATGAATCCTTCATAAATTTTTGTACCAAAAATAATAATAATAATAATAATAATTCTTCATAAATTTGAGTTTACCATAAATGCCCATTTGCTTTTAAAATGCAAAAGCTTTTGACCATCTAATTTCAAGGTCAAATATATTTCAGCAACACTGCAAATTTTCAACAAGTCCAATAAACCACCTGTATGGTCAGGATTAAATGGTCATTTTTGGGACTAATACAAGCAATTTCAAAACATTAATTCCAGTTTCATACAACTAACATACATAGTAAGGTTACACAGTACAAAAATCGGGAAAGACAGCACGAAAAAAATCCTACACGGGGGCAGTCCTAATCTGGTACCTAAACGAGAACCAATAAGTTCGGGTCAGAAACAGTGAGCGTAAATGCTAAAACTTACACCAACGGAAAGAGAAAGTTCTAAACGATACAAACACAAATAATCGAACTTAGAATACACACCAATCAGGATGTTATTTCATGGCTAGGCTCCCTAGAATCTCCTCTGGGCAATTTAGCACTGTGTTCGTGATTGTCTGTGATTTTGGGCCCATGAGCAGAGTTTACATTAGCCAAGTTGAACGAAGCTGATGCAGTCAGATTTGGTTTAGGACCATTATAGGATGAGGCCTCATATCTATGCTCGGAAATAGGATTTGCGTCAACAGGATTGAATGATATTGTATGCTCATAATTCGGTTTTTTAGGTTTTTGCTGCTCTTGCTGTTGTTGTCCCGGAAGAGGGAAACTTCCAATAACAATCTGTTGAACTCAGAAAATTTTAGAAAATTTGATCCACAAAAATTATTTTCATTTTGGTGAAAGAGAGTTACAAAAAAAAAAGTTCAGTTGTCACTTGATTGTGTTTGACCATTTTCGTGCTTCATTCAAATAGTAAAAATCACTAAATTTTTTTATTTTATTTTTTGATGATTTTCCATGAACAAACAAACAGTGAACTGACCTGAACAGGGCCGGCAGCAACTAGCATGCCAGCTAATCCTCCGCCCATTACGCGGCCATCGGGCCCGGCTAGGGAGACACTCATCCCGCCAGATCTGCTTTTCGTAAGCCCATTGTCACTAGGCATAAATGATCCTGTTAGAGAAAGAATCTCAAAACGACCCTGTGCGAAAGAAAAAATGCATCAATTAAAAAAATTCCTTGCAATGTATACTTCCTAAAAAAAGTTTAACCCTTTTCTATCGACAAAATAAATTTACAAAATTTTGTAAAGTCCCATTATTTTGGCCCAGGGATGCTAGTGTTTTTTGTACCTCATAGGTTAAAGTACCACCAGAAGAATTGGGTTGTCGAAGTGTGACATTTGAGATGGTGCCATTTGCAGCGAGAACGCAAATGGCTCTGGACCCCTGTTGAGAAAATGATATTATCTTCATCATGATATCCTGGAATAGAAAAAGACCAAAGTAAAACAATTATTAGCAATTCGAAAAAGTACAGAACGACTGTTTTCTGTATTTAGTACAGAATTGCATGATACATCATTTTATCATGCAATGTTAAAATGTTGTATTAGCTTCAAACAACAAAAAGTGCAAAAAGTACAGGTATCTTTTCCGATGATACAGATAAATCAGACTAGATGGAGTTCATAAGTTCATTATGAAATACGGGAGATATACTGCTCCTAGTTTAAAGTACCTCGCCAGTGTTTACAGTTAGCATATGAGGTATAAAACTTCCACTGACAGGGTACGCCGCTGGTTGTCCTGCAAAAAAAATAAATAAATAAATCAGGAAATTGGGATTTTGCTCGAGTACATTCATAAATAAATATAGTTGATAAATATCATTATCGTGTCTCACTATCTGCTGGACTATGCGGCCTTTATAATGGACAAACAATCCTTGTGGTGTTGAGCATGCATTCACAGAAAAGACGACATTTTTAAGGATATTCTAGATAATTCCTCGAAATATTGTCAGTCATTCCACTAGAGCCACACATTAAACACACGTCCAATTAGCACCAATAGCAACTAGAATTCATAATTCCATGCATATATATAAGAAGGAAATATCTTTCATGTTAAATGGTGTTGATATAAGTTGATTACACCACAATTCATGCAGTAATCTTTTTTAACTCCCCACGAAGATGATAAAATTTCCCCTTAATCAATCACCAATGATAAATGGAAGACCCCAAACAATCTTTCCCTTGACTTTTGGATCTGACTTTTTTCGGCTGGAGCTAGTTATCCATTCATTTTTAATTCAAGATAAGTGCAACAAAATCAATTATCTTGAAGCATAATACACAAGCATAATAAAATCCTCAAGCAGCAGGGGAGAGTGATGACCCGGAACCTGTTTTCGGGTTTTGTCAGCTGCCTATTAAATTTTCATCCGTTCGAAGACAGAACATTATTCACTCCTCCATTTTCGGTGATATCCACAAATGTTACATCATCGACTAATCACCATAATGTGTATTAGCATAATAAAATCCTCAAGCAGCAGGGGAGAGTGATGACCCAGAACCTGTTTTCGGGTTTTGTCAGCTGCCTATTAAATTTTCATACCGTTCGAAGACAGAACATAATTCACTCCTCCATTTTCGGTGACATCCACAAATGTTACATCATCGACTAATCACCATAATCATCATTATCATGCTTCTTTTTACTATCACTTTCACTTTTATTCATACAAAGCAGTTATTAAGTAAAAGACAAGATGTTGTGTCAGGTCACATCACCAAAAGAGACAGCACTAGAAAACAGACAAAGCAAGATATTCTTCAACAGACTCTCACAATTCTATTTGCCCAGAGCACAGAACTACCCACAATGCACAGACATACTTGAGTTTGAGGGACTTAACTGATAGGGTCCCAATTCCAAATTGGTTGCCTAAAATAACTCATTTACAGTTGCTTCATAAACATATAAAGCAAACAAACACACTGCAGCACAAAAAGCAGATCCCAGCAGATCTAGATTCTTCTTAAACACTTGCAACAAACTCCAACACAAAAATATTTGTCTGAATAATACAAAAAGGCACTCCCAAATACAAAACGAGCTGAAATAAGAAGAACAAAAGTACCTGAACTTTCAGACTCCAACTTGGGTTTTTTCTTGAAAGTGTCAACTGGCCGGCTCGCACTGTGCTTCCAAGCTGAGGAATAATCTCCGGTGAAGGGAATGGAAGCAGATATAGGCATGGGAGACAGTGCCACAGCCGAACTATCTCCTGAGTACTTTCTTGGCCTACCCCTTCTCTTCTTCATATCCGTTGACGCGGCTGTGCTTGGTGGCGGTGCCGTCGTAGCAGGCGGAGCGGTCGATCCGCCAAACTGGCCGCCTGGATTTTCGACACTTGGCTCGACTCTGTAGGCCTGAGGGGCTTCATCGCCTTTAACTGTGAAACCAGTGCCGTTTAACCCGTTCTTTACCTCCATTCATATACTGACCAAGAAGATGTATCTGCCTTAAACCCTTTGACAAAGATTGTTAGTACTTAAACCTAAACTCGCTCAGTTATCAAAGCTCGTTTTTTTTTTTTTTCCTGAGCTTCAGCTCGAACACTCAGAACAACTAAATACCCACTTTGAAACAAGAAAAACTAAGAACAGTACAAGGTAGATATAAATCAAGAAAAGCCCAGAAATAAAAGATGAAAAAAGGAACCTTGTTTCAGAAAATCTGTAAATCTAAAAACCAAAGATTCAAGCTTTTACTTTTACATATCGTCAGAGCACAACAGAGCTTCATAGAATCTACTTACTATCACCTTTACAGCTTAATCATGGTCTGATCAATGCCATTGCAGAGGAAGGACAGACCAAATCCAACAGAGTTTAAATGGATAATTTTATTTTTTTTTAAAAAAAAAATAGTTGGCGTGAAAAACAAAAAATTGGGACCTGTAAAATTAGGGTTTTTGCAAGGAAAACTGGAGGAAAAGAATGAAATAAAAGTTGGAGAGAAATTAAGGAAATAAATAATGATAAATAATAAAATAAATGAAAATTAATTAGGTGAGATAAAGCAATATATTTTAAATTGCAAAATTCAAAGTATTAATTACGGTTGATAAATGGTTTCGGGTCCGTCTTGGAAATTTAATAAATGGAGTTAAAAAAATAGTAAAGTTATGTGAATTGGAATAATATATAAAGGGAAATTTATAAAGATTATTAATATAAATCTTTATAAATGTAAATGACAATATATATATATATATATAATTATTTAAACCTGTAAAGCTAACGTTGGAAGCATTCCAAATTTTTCAAATATTTCTGTTCTCTGTCTTTTTAGGTAAAAAAAAATAATAATAATAATAAAAGTTGACAAATATTTATTTGGAAAAAGATACCCTTGAATTTGTGGGCAATTTGCTATAATGCCACTGTTCAGTCTTTATTGTGCAAAATTACACAGGAAAATCTGGTAAAAGTGATGGTGCTTGCTTTATGTTTCCTTGCATAAGTACAAAATTATTTCATCAAAAAAAAAAAA